TAGTACTTATTTTGGGCAAATTACTTAATCTCTGTGACCCAGTATTCTATCTTTATGTATTTATTTGCAGGGGCGTAGGGATATCTAGTAAATGCTCACTTAATGAATAAAGCACTACACTACATAAAAGCTATAGAAGGGAGAAATCATTTGACTTTCTGGATCATGGTAAATATTGTCACAGGATAAGTGTGTTTCAGATTCAACTAATGTGTTTTTAAGAAAATTTTATATGAGAATTCAGAATATACAAACATGATATATTCATATTTAAGATCCAGTCCAGGGCATTTGTAGGTTGGGAGTTTTTTATTACTGCTTCAATGTCACTAGCTGTGATCTGTCTATTCAGATTCTCTGATTCTCCCTGGTTTAGTTTTGGAAGGGTGTATGTTTCTAGGAATTTATCCATTTCTTCCATATTGTCCAATTTGCTGGCATATAGTTGTTTGTAATATTTTCTTAAAATCCTTCATATTTCTTTGGTGTCAGTTCTTACTTCTCCTCAGACTTAACACAATTACACTGGCTTTACATAACACTACACAGTGTTAATATTGCGAAAGAAAAAGTAGAATTTCTTCATTAAAATAACATAGATACCACTTTAGGAATTATTCTATTCTTGGCTATCATGGTTTGGGGACCATTAAAGGTGTCCTGTGCAAAATACATTACTTATTTTCTTAAAACATAAAAGTAAAAACAATTTTAAATCCATAATCATTATAAGATTTGCGAACCTTGGGCACATACCAATTGACTTCCTGTGCTCCATAAGATACTGCATGATGACCAGGAGTTTTCAGCTGCTGTGCATTAACCCTTTTAGGATACTAGGTTGTTCTATCAGTGCAATATTATAATAATTGTAAAAACTTTAAAACTAAAGCTTGAGAAAACATTCCATAATCAAACAAATTAGCTATAATTTATTTTTAGTACTTCAGAAACTCTTTAGACTAGTAGAACATTAAAAATTTTAGTCTGTGATGTTGCCAGAGGGGATAGGTGGTTGGGGAGCTGGGTGAAAAAAGTGAAGGGATTAAAAAATACATATTGAAAAACGAGTACAAATTGGTAGTTACAAAATAATCATGGGGATGTAAAGTACAACATAGGAAATATAGTCCATAGTACTGTAATGACTATGTATGTTGCCTGTTAGGTACTAGAAATTTGGGGGGGATCACTTTATAAAGTATATTACTGGCTAACCACTACACTGTACACCTAAAACTAATTCAAAATAATATTGAACGTAAACTATACTTTAAAAATAAGATTTAAATAATAATAAAAAGCTACTTGCAAAATGGAAAGACAAAAGAGTAGATGATGGTGGGTGTGGGAACCTAAGAATCTGAACATTGTTTCACATCTAAGCAACAAGCTCATCATCTCCCAGCTTTGCCCTCAAAGATGTAAACTACAGTATTTTCTCTTCAGTCTTGGAGTACAGTTTTATTTGCTGCTAAAAGACCTTTGATTTCCTCCACCCACTTCTTGTTGGAGTGGCACGAGAAATCAGGAATGACTGAAAACTAAAATTGCAGGAAAAGTGCAGCATTCACAATTCTGTCTTGCTAAACTACTTTGAATTGAGCTGTGTAAAAAAAAAAAAATGGAATTAATAATAAGGATATTTGAAAGCACTGAAAAATACAAAAAAAAATCTTCGTCTTACATAGTTTTTAATATTAATGTCTCTTCCTGTCAATTTCATTGTCTGAAAATATAACTTTAAAGCAGTTCTAACTATAAATATAGTCATTTAATTCAAGACCTTTAAAAATTGCTTGAAAAAATCTGTTAACTATAGAACTCTCCCATCTTTGCCCACCAGTATTAGTTTAAGAAGCAAAACAAATAGGGTTATAAGACTCTAAGAAATATTTTCTATGATATTCTCTTCTTTTCGCACCTATAAATCCTCCATTAAGGTCATGGAAAATGCATGCATATAGGGAAATTAAAACTATTAGACTTAATATCCATTAATTGCATTTGAGAGCCTTATTTTGCCATAATCACTAATTCCTTAACATTGCTGATACTGTTTCCTATCAGGATTTTGTTCATCATGATCAGAAAATCAATAAAAATTTGAGTATGTTCTTAACCCCCAGGTTATGTACACTAATGCTCTCCTCTTTAAGTGTCTTTCTTTAAAAGATATAAACACATAGCTTAAACTGTGCCATTCAAATGGTCTTGGTCGAAATAAATGTAAATCTTGTCTCTCTGTTTAAAGAAGTTATCTCTTTGATATACTTGTGGAATATAACACAGCCTTACTTACTGCAGATCATGACTGTATTCTCAGAACAATTATTTACAGAATTATTCATTGTTGCGCTGGCCGGTTTGGCTCAGTGGTTAGAGCATCGGCCTGCGGTCTGGAGAGACCCGGGTTCGGTTCCCGCTAAGGGCACGTACCTTGGTTGTAGTTTGTCCCCAGCCCCGGTTGGTCGTGCAGGAGGCAGCCACTTGATGTGTCTCTCTCACGTTGATGTTTCTCTCTCTCTCTCTCTCTTCCTCTCTCCCCCCTCCTACTCTATCTGAACAAAATATCGAAAAATGTCCTCGGGTGAGGATTAAAAAAAAAAATTACTCATTGTAAAACAGGAGTGCAACAACAAAACAAGAAACAAGGTTTTGCACTGACAGTCTTTACAACGCTTTAGAAAAGCATATGTATGACTTTCTTTACACATTTAAATATGCTCATAACTTAGGAAAATGTATCCCCCTGCGGCTCCTGAAGAAAGAGCGAGCTACAATTGCACGACTGGAAAAGCATGGATAATCGTATAACAAAGACTGTTGCCCCAATATTCTCCTGTGCTTTTACGAAAGCTTTTACTAGCTTTTCCCATTTCCCTTCTGTGAGGAGTACTTGTAATTCAAATATGAAAACACCAGATCAGCCCTGGCCAATTTGGCTCAACCGTTGAGCTTCGGCCTGCAGACCAGAGAGTCCCAGGTTTGGTTCCCGCTAGGGGCATGCACCACCAAAAAAAAAAAAAGGAAACACTAGATCAGAAACAGCAAGGTCTAGTGCAGCGGTCTCCAGAATTGGCGTGACTACTGCTGACGTTATACAAGGAAATTTTAAAGGTACATCAACTAATATTTAGTATTTTAATAGATGCACATTTATTTGAAGCATATTAGAAAAAATATAACTTGCAAATCAACCTCATCACTTTAAAATTCTTCTTCCTTGGGTCAAGTTTCCTTTTTATATACATTAAGGAAAACATTAGGTAAATTCAGTGTGGGTGCATCTGACAAAAGTCATGATGGAGACTGGGGAATCTCTGGTGAGTGGAAAACTGCGGTGGAAAGGTTAGGGCCAGGTAACAGAGGTTCTAGTTCTGGCCCTGTCACTGACAGCTGACAAGTCAGACCTCTTTGGGCTTCTAAGGTCCACCCCAGCACCACTATTCTATGGTGCTATGCTCTCTTCTCAAATGCCATTATAGGGAACACCAATCTCTGTAAAACAAAAATAAGCATTCTAAGCCTTAACACAAGATGCACTCTTTTAAACTAGTCAGGGAAATTAGTGAACCTAATGTAGAATTTTTTTTGAGGATAAAACAAACTAACAAACAAAATCTGCTATTGGTAGATTAGACCAATCCTTTGAAAAACTGGAGATAAACTTGATTTTGCTTAGTAACTTTAGTCGTTTTGCCCAGGGGAAGGATTTCAAGTACCTCTGGATTCTTCTATCAATATGATAGCCACATAACAGAGAGTTTCGCCTGCCATATTTCACATGCCTTGTATCATTCTAACCTGGGAGTAAGAGCCTGAATGTCCAGGATGCAGTCAGATGAAGGATTTAAGTAAAGCCAGTACTGGAAGAAAAATACACTTCTACTAGAAGGAGGAAAAGAGAGATGAACACTAGATTAAGATAAAGAGTTGTGTTTTTAGAAATAAGTGAAGCCTGAAGCTTTAAGATAACAACATAGTTTGTCTGGGTTCTGTTTTTAATTTTTCACTCTAGAAATGGAAAAACATATTAACCAATTACCCATTTTCAGAGGTAATAAAACTGGAACCCCAAATTAGTGCTATGTGCCTCTACTAAACTGTCTTGAATTATTTCTCCTCTCAATGGCTTGAAAATACAAGTTCAAATCAAAACCTAACTCACAGTGCCAAAAAAACATCCAGTGTAGAAAATCTCTATAGAGTAATATTTTCATGGCCAGGTTTTCTGTTTTCTAAAATAATCTCTATAGTTTGAAAAGTAAACTACCTTTTCCTTGAACTGGAGTTGTTTGTCACTTTTTTAAAGGAGACCCTCAGCCTCACAGAAAAGAATGTCTTCCTAAAGGTTATTTACCATTGCTTCTGACCTAGCCTAAAAAGAAATTAAATTAATCAATTAGACTGTGAGGTGAAAAGAGATGATGATCACAATGATGATGGTGGTGATGATGGTGGTGACGAACTCGGTGAATATTTGAACTAAGCATTTTGGAATGTATCTAATTAAGGACTAAAGTACTTTTATTTTCTATTTGGAATACTAATTACATTTATTGAACCTATTCAGCTTAATAAACAAATGAAAAAACACCAATGGAACCACTACAATCTATCTTTTTGTGGAAATATCTCTGCCTTGTATCAGTGTTAAAAAAAAAAAGAAAATAGAAAAGATGCTAGGGGTGGAACATTTTACCTATGATCTCTGAAAGGGCACATTTGTGGAGCACATCTGAACATACGATCCGTAAATAGAGATACTGGCCCTCTGGAATCCCAACAATTTCATTATTTGTTGCAATTTCAAAGGCCTCTTGGAAAATGTGGCTTCCCGGTTTCCTAGCCTTTTCAAGTCCCTTGTTAAAAATATCTGCAGGCATGCATTCTTCATCTGGGGTTCTAATTTGATCTGTCATCCCCAGCTACAGTGAGTCTCCGGCGCTCTGGGAAAGACCGGGCGGCTGTGTGGATCTGCTCCTGACTGCGGTGAGTCACTGCTGATTCAGCCTCCTCCGCAGAAGGGCAGCCAGTCTTTGTCGGGTCTCATGCACTGAAGATGCCCGACCCCTGGGAGGATGTGGCTGCAGGAGAGTGGGCAAACCTGAGCTGCTGGCCCTCTTAGGCTGAGCTGAGGTTGGAAAGGGGCTGGGTTTTGACACTCCGTGCAGGCTGGGGATTTTGGTTCCCTTCTCAGTGCTCAGTCTTGCAGTGCTGCTCTCTCTCTGATTACTGCCTGTGACAGCAGAGGAGGTTAGGCTGCCCTGGCTGAGGAACCTCGGTGACAACGGGAAACTTCCACTGAGCTTCCTGAGCTCCAGGAGCTGTTCTCTGGCCTGACTCAGGGCCTCCGTCAGTTCAAAGCGTTCTTCACACTCTCTACGCACTGTTTCCTGAAGAAACGTGTTCTGAAATGAGAAAAAGGGAGGGGGAAGCATCCCTAGCTTTAGACAGTGTACCTATGGATAGTTCTTGGCAATACACACTGAGAACTGAACTCGAAACCAGAGGTCTGTGTTCTCTGACTATCTTTGTGCATACTCTACATGGAACAGAAAAGTAAAAAACGCAAATGATCTGTGAAGCTGGAAAGGACTTGAAGAGAACATTTTATTCAACCCTTGCAGTTTGCAGAAGAGGAACCAAGAGCCAGGGTTACTCAAATGGCAGTGGTGGGGCTGGGGCTGGAAGCCAGGACTCCTAAGACCTACTTCAGCGGCGTTTCAATTTTCTGTGCCTTGTGTCTTGGACACTCTGAGCTGCACATGTGATGTCTAATAGTTAATATCTGTAGTGTCATTAAATATGCTATTTTACAATGAAGGTATACTGTAATAATAAGACAAACAGATACAATTGTTGAATTTTAGGATAAAAAGAATAAAATATATCAGCTATAGCATTTAAACAATAAAAATCAGTTATTTTGTATGATGCCTTCTTAATAGAATTTAAATATATTGATCATGTGCTGTTCTGTAAGATATACGTCAAAACAAAGAACAACACTTCCTGCTTTCAACTCCACCCAGAAATCATTGATCAACTTACTAGAAGTTTTGTGGCTACAGTTCCCGCCCTCAAGAAGTTTGCAGCCTCATAAGTTTGAGCAGCGTTGCTTTTTGTGTCCCCAACACCATCTGGAGGCAAGTGTGGAAGCTTTGGGGTTCAAGTCAAGGAAGAGCTTTTTAATAGCTTGAGCTCTCCCGAGGATACTCTGAAGGGTTGAATCTCACTTGACTGGGATATATCAGAGCAAATGTAAGCTTCAAATGTGTGACAGGACTAGACATCATTAAAGGCCTCTTCAAATTATGAGACTTGATATTTCTAGCTGAAGAGTTACCCATCTTTCATCTAGGAAATTCATCAAAATTACTTCCAGGCCCATGGTAAGAATTAGGTCTTGGATCTGCCTAATGCCCTGATGTGTATGTCTGTAGATTGTCAAAAAAGAGTCTGGTCTGGCCAGTGTGGCTCAGAGGTTGAGCAATGACCCATGCACCAATAGGTCGTCAGTTTGATTCCCAGTCAGGGCACATGCCCAGGTTGTGGGCCGTGTCCCCAGTGGGGGGCATGCAGGAGGCAACCAATCGATGTTCTCTCTCATCAATGGTTCTCTCTCTCTCCCTCTCACTTCCTCTCTCTAAAATCAATAAAGGAAAAAAATTATTTTAAAAAGAGTCTGAAAAGTAACAACTCAAAGTGGTATCTAAATAAGTAAGCACAATTAAAATGATTGTGGCATGGGATTCTTTTATTAAAAATGAACTTCCATCAGGTTAGCTTGTTTGTAAAAACAGCCAAGACGTTCTCAAGTCTGACTCAGTGGAAAGTGTCCTCTTAAGGCTTCACTGACCAGTCTTCTGTCAGTGGAACTAAATAACAAAGCATCAAGGAAAGTAGCATCTTCCTGTATTTGAGTTTCCTGTGATTATGGTCAGAACTCCATTCAATTCCAAATTTGGTAGTCAATAGTGCAGAATGTGGAGCAGTTCCAGATTAACAGTTGCACTGTCATTTTCTATAAAATCAGCAGTGTGTCTGGGTCACACAAAGCCTCATCACTGACATATATTATTAATATACACATATGATTCATATAGCCACATATTTGTTTTTTTTTTAATCTTGAGGGTCAATCACTTGCTCCTAGTTAATTTCTTTCTATTCTTTTTTTTTTTTTTAAAGCAGGAGACCAAGGACTGTGTTAGCGGCTTTATCATCTGGTTCTCATTAACTCTACCTGAAATACTTGTTGAAGCAGCAAGGAAAGGAGGGCTAGAGAAGAAGATTAATAATGTGCTATATTGGGTGTCATCTCATTTCCTGCTCCCAACAACTATGTTTGACAAAGAAAGACACTGGAGCTTAGACTGAATTTGGAACTTGCTGAGAGTAACCCAGATCCAAGGGGGTGGGGCCCTGCCTGCTTCCAGAGACCTGCTTCCGGCCACCTATGCCTAAATTAATTGTGAAATTCTTATACCAAGCATGCAGGGTCCATTTTGTTCCAGGGACCCTAAAGCAATAAAAACAGTAAGACATTTAATTTGGTTTGGTCCACGTTTTCTAAACTTGATATAAACATTCTTTTAAAAGGAAAAAATATCAATGCATTATGTTTCCTGTCTACTAGTAGAGTAAGCTGCTGAAGTGTGAAGTGATTTACCAGTCATTCCATAAATTAATATAAAAATTTCCTTGATTAAGAAAGTTATGAGAAAGAGTTAATTTTATTTGACTGTATAAAGGAAGAAATGGATAGCAATTAACAATGAAATCAATACATTGGTGAGATGAATAATAGGTGCATTAACATGGAAGGACAAAGTGATGGGTGATGTGACGAAAAGAGCTCTCATTAAGTCCTGGCTGGTTTGGCTCAGCGGTTAGAGCGTCGGCCTGTGGTCCAGAGAGACCCAGGTTCAGTTTCCACTAAGGGCACGTACCTCAGTTGCAGTTTGTCCCCGGCCCTGGTTGGGTCGTGTGGGTGGCAACCACTCAATGTGTCCTTTTCACATCGATGTTTCTCTCGCTCTCTCTCCCTCTCACTCTATCTGATCAAAAAATGGAAATATGTCCTCGGGTGAGGATTAAAAAAAAAAAAAAAAGAGCTCTCATTAAAAGAAACATAAAATGCAATCCATTTACTAAAATTAAATTCAGATCTCAAAGGAAAGGAGTAGTACTCTACAGAAAACATCCATAAAGCAAATCACTTAAAAGCTATTTCAGGAAAGTGACATTCCACTAAAGGAGGAAGTAGAAGGGTGATATGAACCCAAAGATGTCCCCAAAGCAAGTATAATGAAAGCAAAGTGCCCGCCAACTCCAGGTTGAACATTGGAAGGGCTGATGACCATCTTGGTCTGGGGCCCACTACTCTGGAACTCATCCTTCTTCAAGGCTATTAGCTTCCAGAAAAAAGGATGAATTCTTTTTCTTCTCTTATGTCCCAAACTAGGAAGACCTCTGAACTGAAAGCAGGCTCTGAAGTTAGGACTTTTATTGTTGTCTGTTCTGCAGACGCTATGCAATCTCAGGTGAATCCTACAATATCTGCATGTCCTTAGCCACTATTATCTCCTCCTTTAAAATTGAGATTGTAATTCTGCATTGTGCAACAAGCAGTTCACATACTATCATTTATTCACTCATGGAGAAAAGTATGGAAACAGAATATACCAGGTTTAGTGTGTGTAACAGGGCATGACCACAGTACACGTGGATATGGCCAAAATCAGGAAGACACATTAATGGAAAATTCCATCATATGCGGAAAAGAATCATTCACTCGTGGTTAGGTTGCTTTCAGCAATTTAGGCAAAATGTCTTTTTCAGTTGTCTTTTTGGAAGGCTGTGTTGTTGCAGAATGTTAATGTGTGTTTTTATTTGAACAACATGGGAAAACGTATAAAACAGAATATGTTCAGTAAGCTTGAGAATCACGGGCAAACATGAGGATAATCAGTGAAGCCATAGCATTCTAAATGTTTTAGGCAAAGTTAGCATTGGCCACAGTCTAGTGTGGTAAAATGGTATCACTGGATTGCAACTACACTGAGTCGAGGTGAAAAGGGAGGCATGAACCAGGTGAAGAAGAGGCAGTGGGGTTTCCAGGCAGAGTGGGAGTGAGTGCAAATGCCTAGCAGTGCGAGAGGGAGAGGCACCTTTGGGGTGACACACAACTTAGAATGACTCAAGTACAGAGTGCACAGGGGAGGAGAGACCAGGACTGAGGCAGGGAGGAGTGAGCAGGGTCAGATAAAGGATGGCTTTGATAACATGCAAATACTGTACTAGAGTTTTAACTTAATTCTGAGGGCCGTTTGGAGACATTGAATGGTCGATTTTAAGAAGGGGGCTGGCATGGTCAAATGTAGATTACAGGAAGATCCCTTTGCCAGCTCTGTGGAAAATGGCCTAGCGTGGGGTAACATGGGAGAACAGGAGGCGAGCAGGAGGCCAAGGTTTTCATGGAGAAGGTTCCTACCCTGAGTGGCACTTGGTTAGGGGAGGGAGAACTAGTGTCCCTGGGTCCTTAAGCCTTGCTGATTGGTGGAGAGCATTATCTATACATATGTCTCCAACATTTTCAGATAAATGCCACTTTGAAAGGGCTTTAAAATATGGCTCAATTGTACTCCCACTGAGCAAGTAAATGTCAAAATAAAAATATAAATTGTTTCACCATCTGTTTGTAATTTTTAATACGGCCAATTTCTCTACTCTGCAATGTAAGGGTGGGTTATTTTTATGTTTGTTTTCATTTTTATTGTTAGAGACAGCTGGATGGCTTTCAGCAGTGGAAGAAGCAGACCAGGCTTTGCTGGGTAACTCGGTCATTCTAAAGGTGAGAATCCTATCTGTGACGGAAATCAGCTGGATTTGGCATAATCCGAGGGGAATGTGCTGGGAAAGCAAGTCCTCTGAGAAGAATAAGCACAGATGGGTGTCTCTGTGTTCTATTCCCGATGAGGTCTGAACCAGTCAGATTGCAGTTTCCACCAACCTAGACTAGATATACCTCAGGGTGAGTGGATGGTCAGGCAGCGGGGTGGGGAGCTGAGGTGAAAGGAAACCCTGTGGAAAAGGTGTGGGAACCAGAAACCTAAGTCAGAGTTAGCAAAGGATGTGCCCAAACTTCCATTTAAGGCTTCTGCTCAACTCATCTGATCAGCCCAAAACACTGCAGAAAACCAATGGAAATTGCCTTTGGTAAAGCAGGAATAAGAAGCTGAATAGGCCCTGGCCAGTTTGGCTGAGCGGTTAGAGCGTCGGCCTGCGGTCCGGAGAGACCCGGGTTTGGTTCCCGCTAAGGGCACGTACTTCGGTTGCAGTTTGTCCCCGGCCCTGGTTGGTCGTGCGGGTGGCAGCCACTCGATGTGTCCCTTCACGTCGATGT